GCAGACGATCGTGGTGATTCTGGGCGCGGCACAGCGAAGTCAGTCGATCGCGCCGGATCTGGACGATCGACTGGACTGCTTTGTTGAGAATTTGAGACGTCGGGCGCAACTGACGAGAACGAACGACGAACGAGTGAGGTCAGTGACGGACGCGTTACCGATTGCTGGGTGTGGACGAACCAGCGGGACTATGTGAAGGAGCAGGAGAGCGGAGTGGAGTTTCGCAGTAGTAGCCCGGTTCAGCGGTTCCGTTGCGTGAAACTGAGAGAAGGCTTAGCGTACGGCTCTGAGTCGCGGTGTACACGAACGCGAAAGACGGACACGGCAGTTGTTGTGAAGACTCTGGAAAAGGAGCCACGAACTCTGCATTAAAACTACGAGGAACGAACGGGTAGTGGGTCTGTATTAATAAATAGGTGCGAACGCTACGGTGGACGTGCCGGCATGGTTGAACCGGCCTACGGGTGTTGAGTTACGTTGAGTGGTGAAGAACCTTGTCGGACCTGGACAAACACGTCAGCAGGCACGCGAGCATTCGGCACGCTCAACAGGCGAGCGAGATAAGTGCTCTGTTACATGGTGGCCATACAGGGGCGACTTCATTCAGAACGATTACGCCTACACGGATGAGAACTACGACGATGACGACGCTTCAATCCAAGTCGAAGTCGCCACAGACGAGAATGGTAGCGGATGGGAAAGAAGAAGAACTGGAATTCAGAGACGAGCGAGGGCAACGACTCAAAGCGTGATACTGCGACGAGTGCGAAGCAAACGGAATCTCCAAGGGTCGCTCCTACGTCACAACAACCGGCGACAGCAAGACAAACGAGAAAGCTGGCACTGTACGTTTGAAGAAGGCGAATATGTGGAGGACGAAGATGGTAAGACTTGCTGTGGGGTCGACGTAACGCTAAGCGACCACCTAGTGTCAAGCGCTACCAACAACAAGCCGGACAACACGGCGACGGAACGGCAAGCACGGAAGCTGGAGCAAAACCAGTGAAAGAGACGGCGTGTGAAGCGTGCGCTGGCACAGCGACGTGGCGATGAACATGATAAAAAAAGGGGTAACGAGCCGAAGAAGGAGTACGGATACGATGGCAGCGCGAGGCCGACGACGAGTTAGGGGAACTGGACGAGCGAGCAAGAGGTCAGAGGACCAATGACGGAAAAGTCAGTGCCAGTGTGGTACATGGTGGTGGGTCGATGGAAGCGCCATCAGACGATGGTGAACCTGCACGAGTGCGGTTAGTGCAGAGGTTGGATGTCGAAGGAGCTCGCGTAGAGAGTGATGATGACGTTCGGGATGTGATGGCTGAAAACGGTCTTCCTACGGCTACGGTGGACGCGTCAGGTACCCAACGGCACATCAAGCTCGACAGCGGTGCAAGACTTACAATGGCCGGTACGTACTGGATGGCACTCGGTGATCGAGTATCGACGAAGGCACCCGTAGGCTATATCGAGAGAATTGACGGATTTTTACTGGACGCCATAGGCGTTTGGCGGTTCGTGCTGAAGAAGTGTGCGTGAATGCATGTATAGTGAAGGGCTGTGCGAGCGAATTCCGGCATAGTGTGGACTTCATGAACGAGCAATGGGCGACTCGGGATTTTGGTCGTAATAAATTGTGATACACGGCGAATGATCGTGCTGTGGTGGTCCCATTTCGAACGTTCGACAAACGCGTGATAATGGCGGCCGTGCGCATGACGCGAACGACGAAGCTGGGCAGAGCCACGGCGAAGCCAATCGAGGGCGCGATGACGGCGAAGGATGGCGAGAAAGGCATATTCCTGCCTACGAACTGGCTCGGGTCGGTAATGTGAGTGGCCACGGTGACGGAGGCACGTGGCAAGGCGTGGATTCCCGCAATCAATGCAAGTGGTGGTCATGTGAAGCTGCCGTGTGAGCGCGATCTCGGGACGTGGGTCCCTCTGGATAAGGATGTGAGTGTACTCGAGGTGAGTGTACTCGAGGTGAGTGGAGCCATGCGGTCAGATGCAGTACGTTCGTGGTTGGATGAGTTGGGTTACACGGAGACGCCCCTGGAAAAGGAAGACGACGTGCACATCGGGGTTGAGGGCAAGAGCGATCGGTCTCTGGTGACGAAGCAAGTCTAGGGCGTATGGGAACCTCGAGATACGCGCGACTGCCCACCAGCCATATCCCTTAATATTAAGCACCACATTGATACGGGGAACGCGGCCCCAATAATGTTGAAACGTAGGCGGCAGGCGTAGACGGAAGACGTTGTCGTGGAAGACAATTTGAGCAAGATGTTGTAGTCTGAAGCGATCGAGGAGGGGGGGCGGTGGCTGGAGTTTTCCAGTGGTACTAGATAAAAAGAAAGACGGCGAAGTAGTCATTTGTGTTGATTATCGAGCACTTAATAAAGTGACGAAGAAAGATGAGTTCCCGCTGGCGCGGAGTGACGAGACGTTAGAAGCGCTTGGTGGAGTGTTGTTATCCACAACCTTGGACCTCAAGTGGGGCTATGGGCAGATACAAGTGGCGGAAGCGGATAAATCAAAGACGGTCTTCACTAAAAAAAAAAAGGTCTGTAACAATTCGTCCGGATGCCGTTCGGGCTTACAAACGCACCACCCACTTTCCAGAGGATGATGATCAGTGTGCTACGCGGCCTAACTTGGATTACCTGTCTAGTCTGCCTCGACGACATCGTGGTCAATACACGCGGTGGCATTGAACGACATGTGCTCGAACTAGCGAGTGTCTTCAAGAGGTTGTCGAAGGGTCGATGTTGAAGCTCAAGGAGTGCCGGTTCGCTACGCGGAAGGTGGAGTACTTAGTGCATGAGCTGAGTGCATACGCTGTAAAGCCATTGGAAAGACTAGTGTCAGTTGTAAGAGATTATTCTCGCCCTACCGACGCACTGAAGTGAAGTGTTTCGTACATTTAGCTGGTTACTATCGGAGATTCGTCTAGGGCTTCGGATCTATGACGGCTTCAATAACTAAGCTACTGCGGAAGAATGCCGAATGGGAGTGGTCGACGGAACAAGAATCGGTGTTCAACATTGTGAAGGAGGCGCTAACAAAAAAGCCCTTGCTGATCTATCCGGACATCGATTTGCCGTCCAGACTTGTGACTGATGCTATTAATGTCGGATTGGGCGCCTGCCTCATGCAAAACCCCGGAAATGGTTGGCAGCCAGTTGCCTCTGCTAGTAAGGTAAACAGTTCGACAGAATCGAATTACGGGGTCGCGGAACTGAAGTGTCTCGCAGTGGTCTGGGCGATCAAGCTCTTTCGGTCATATCTGTACGGTAGGAGGTTCACCATTGTTACGGATCATGCGGAGTTGAAGTGGTTCATGGTGAGCCTTAATCTGCCGGGCAACTTACATCGGTCGGCTCTGACATTGCAGGAATTCGAGTTCGGCGTCGCGTACCGCCCAGGCAGTACCAACGCTGTGGCCGATACACTCTCCAGAACACCGGCGGTGTCAGTACTGGCGGCGATCGGACAGCGACGACGATCCTGATGGTGGGTGGCTAAACCAGCGGACGACGAAGGAACTGACACTCCGTTGATGGATGCTGCGGAGGCACCGCACCTTGCTGCTCGTGACACTCCGTTGACGGGTGCTGCGGAGGCACCGCACCTTGCTGCTAGTGACACTCCGCTCGTCCACTCTGTCGATCTGTTGCGAGTTCGCGCCGCCGGCATCCTGCGTCCGCGACGTGTTTGGCTCCAACAACGCTCTGTCCGTTTTGATCCTCGCCACCGGGGCCGCGATACGTCGTGATTCGGGGTGCACTGGTCGCCGTCGTCGTGTTACTCATTCCTCCTCAAGCTGACTCTCATCAGTTGTGCCCGTGTTCGTACTTTCGGTGTTTCCCGTGGTGCACCTACCAACCCTGCCGTCGTGTCACCAGGCTTCCTGTCCGCAGAAGACGACACCCGTTCTTCGCTCGCCTAAGTCTCCTTCGCTGTCAAAGCCACGTCCTTCTCCATCCGTCGCCGTGCCTCCTCAGCTCGTCATTTAGCGCCATGCGTTAAGGGTCGGGAGGCTTCCGCCTCCGTCCTGGTCGCCGTTACAATGCCCCCACACCCTGCCACGTTACTCTCTATATCACTCGCGACAGGATCCTCTGACTCTGAATCTGACACGTTCGCCGTACGCACCGCCGATACAGGTTCATCCGTGCCATTTGCCGCTGGTTCCTGCTGGTTCACGGCGTTCTGGCCTTCTGCCACATCGGCTTGCACGTCGCCCGATGCCACTGGAACTACCAGCGGGTATGGCGAATACGTTGGGGAGATGGCGATGGACCGATGCCGCCGACGTAGGTGGTCGACAAGAGATCCAGGTTGACAGCGAAGAAGAGCTCGGGCGACAGACAACAGAACATTACGAGGGCGTCGACATTGTAGCTCATGGACGAGCAGATACGAGAGACGCAGGGACGTAATAGACTGGTGCAGCGATTGGTGGAGACGAAGTCGTACCAGGGCATGGACGTCGACACGCGATATGAACTTGTGGTGATTAATACACAACATAAAGGACGAGTGGTTATGCCACCAGAATTATGGGCACGAGTGTTCAAGGAACACCACGACTTTGTATGGGCTGGGCATTTACGAGCTACTCACTGAATTTGTAAACGCTGCGTTCAAGAACTTCTCTAAGACCAAGGGCATTGTCTTTCAAACATCAAACGCCTACAATCCAGAAGCAAACGGGGCTGCAGAGCGCGATCATCAGAGCAAACTGAATAGAGCTCGCTGTGCCCTGAAGGATGCTAAGATGGAGCACATGTGGTGGCCTGAAGCGCTCATGTACATGACCTGTGTACAAAATCGTAAACCTAAGGCCCGTTTGGGAAATAAGACACCGTATGAGATGGTGTATGGGGCACCTCTAAACGTAAGCACGTTGCCACTTTGGGGCTCAGTGTGCTTTACGCGTGTCCCTACTGCTCTAAGAAAGTACAAGAAGCTGTCTGCTTGAGACGTAAAGTGTCGGTTCCTGGGGATATCGGACGAAACATAGGGTTACCGTCTGTGGGACATCTACAACAACAGGTACATCTTATCACGAGATGTGTTGTTCGACATGACCAATGTAGCCACCATGGTCTAGCATTCGGGAATGCCAAGTCTGGCATCACCTTTAAAGTCACCCGCAGCAGAAAGAGTGGACACACTTGCCAACGAGAACATGGGGGCAGTGGGAGCTAAGTCACCTGCACAGAGATCTACTGGCACATTGGAAGCCGCATTGACTACACAGGAGGCTACCCAAGCAGTGGGAGCTCAGAATAAGTAACGGCGTGCGGGACTAGCGGAGGCGCCACAAAGCCGTGCACTGCGACCACGTCAAGAGGTGAAGAAACTAGGAGGTATCAGGACTATCAGTGCTTACAGGCGATAATCGATAGTACCATTGCGAGAGACATACTGGAGCACAAAGTGCCAGCAACGAAATCGCTTAAAGAAGCTTTGGGTGGACCGCATAGAGAGCAATGGAAAAAAGTTCTGGAACTAGAGTACGACTCCTAGATTGAGAATGGAACGTGGAGGCTTGTACCACTGCCACCTGGACGGAAGGCTTTGCTCTGTCATTGGGTGCTGGTTGTAAAGTATAACACCGACGGGACTGTCGAGCGTTTCAAAGCGCTCCTTGTTGCGCAAGATAACCACCAAACGTTTGGCGTGGATTGCGACGAGGTATACGCACCAGTGGCACGATTCGAGTCGATTCGTATAGTGCTGGCTATTGGGGCCATATTGGACTGTCAAAATCATCAAATGGATGTCCATACGGCGTTCCTAAACGACACAATGGAAGGAGAACAAAATATCTATATGAGATAACCTCATGGATTTGTGAAGCGAGGCCACGGGCATCTGGTCGGGGAAGTTCAAAAGAGCATTTATGGTCTAAAACAAGCCCCTCGTATCTGGTATCGAGTCCTTCATACCTTTTTAACGTCGATGGGTTTTGTACGCTGCCACAAAGCGTTTTGTATTTACGTGCAAAAAGTGGAAGGAGAATGGACCATAGTCGTGGTGTATGTCGATGATCTGACGATTATGTCGCGGAACATGCGACTCATCAACAGGCTGAAGACCGAGTTGTCAAAACAGTTGAGAATGAAGGACCTCGGTGACATTCACTATATCCCCAAAATGGAGGGGCACCGCAATAGAGACCAGCGTGTGATGATGATCTCACAGAGCAAGTACATTGCAGAACTGATCACATAGTTCAAAATGATCAACAGCTCACCGGTACTGACACTACAAGTACCTGGCCTAGTACTTGAGCCGGAAACAAAGATGAGCCAAGAACAAATTGCTGCTCAGCTGTTCGATTACAGAGGCATTGTTGGCTCACTTTAATATTTGGTCCGTGGGACACGACCGGACATCGCTAACGCGGTTAGAGGCCGTAGTAAATTTCTATCTTGTTACAACCGCATGCACTGGGATGCGGTAAGGCGAGTATTCAATTACCTGAAAGGGACGTCTACGTACGGTCTGTTTCGATGGGAACTCGAGAGATGTGATTTATAAAGTGTATACTGACGCGAGCTTCGCGTGTCAACCAAAAGAACGTAAATCCGTAAGTGGGTACGTGATACAAAATGGCCGGTATCAGTGTTTCATGGTGCAGTAGCAAGCAGGGGGGAGGGGGGGGTTCTCTGGCAACTGGAGAAGCTGAACTCATCGCACTAAGCGAAGGAGCTAAGGAAAACGATTATTTGTGGTATTCGCTGGGAGAGATGGGGTTTCCGCAAAAGGTACATGTGCAATTATGGTGCGATAGCAACGCAGCCATCAGCATTGTGAAGAATCGGGAACCGCAAAGCCAATAAGCACATTGAAATTTGGTATCTATTTACGAGATATCTTGTTGAGCTTGGTCGCCTCAAGATAACATACTGTGCAAAAACCGAGATGACAGCAGACATCCTCACAAAAGGCTCTGTCATCCAAACAGTTCCTTAATCTAAGAGAGAAGCTAGGAGTACGTGATCTAAAACTATCCCCTAGTACTTAGTGGGATCGTTAAGTGAGAAGTGGCGTTGTGCGCGCTCCAATTGCTGAGGGTATTGTAAAATCCGTCCAAATTTGCCGATTTGGGTCTGTTCGAGGAGCGGGAGGACAATCGCACACTTACAAACCCATGTCATTAGTAGAACCCACCAAGCCTTTTCTTGCCACATGTCATGATCTTATTTCGTACTTAAACGGGTCAGTATACGGAATTGTAAACGCTGGGCGATTTGGGGGAGATTCATTCAAAGAACCGCCCATGACAATTTTGAGTAGAACTCACAATAGCAGGTCTGCCCGAGAGTGAAAAAGAGAAATAAAACGAAAACCTCTTCAAAGTGTTAATTGTTCAGAATTAGCATTGTATTGTAAGTTTCCCATACATTGTTGAGTGAAGTGGGTACAAATCATTTCCTCCAATCAGCTCACGCTGTCGATTTGATGTCGATTTGATGTCGATTTGATGTCGATTTGATGTCGATTTGATGTCGATTTGATGTCGATTTGACCAGCCCCGCAAAAACGGCAAATTTAGACGAAAAGCACAATAACTCAAAAAGAATGGCCTAGTGTCCTGGACTGGATTCATTAACCATAACGGCGTGTATTTACTTCTGCTAGACTACAACTTACTAACTACTCGTTTTTTTTTTTGCATCTTTCAACGTGACTCGCAAATCTTGTACAACATGGATGGCCACTTCCTGTTCCACTTCCATGCTCAGGTTTTTACTAAATTGGGGACTTGGCGCTATGATCGAACTGCTTGCACTTTGTTGTGGCTGTGGTTGGTATGACTCGTGTGACCTGATGTACTGAGCAAACAGCTCAGCGCCGACGGTGTGAACTTGGACGCGCGAAAGTACTTCAGCGCATAGTACGAGTCTTCAAACAGAGCAACCACCTTTGGAAACGCAAAGCTGCTGGCGCTTACGTTGCGATCTGGATGGATCGGGTCCTCAATCACCAGCGCTGGCTTGCCGATGTGCGAGCGGTGATTGTCTGCGAGTCTGTAGATATATCCTCCATCGCGCACCGAAAGCCCATTCTTGTGGTAGTCGAATATGATGCCGAAGAACTCGAGAATCATCAACAGATGTTGGCCAAGCGATTCAGGAGGTTTCTGCTGGGGCTGCACTTCGTCGTCACTATCTGCTGAGGAAGAATGACTGCACGAAGAGCTCGAGTCTTCTGTGTCCGCATTGCTGCTCGATACGCTAATCGAATCCAACGAATGAGTCTGTGACGCCTTCTGAGTAATAAGACTCTTGCGTTTTGCTGCTGAGGAGGATGACCCAACAGGTGCAGTCACCGCCGCAGCATAGCTAGATGGCGGTCCTGCAAGTTTTGTCTTCTCTGATACTTTAGCGATACCTGCTGCAACTGCAGCGTAGCTGAAACGTGGTTCAGAAGCTTTTCGCAAGGAATCGTCTATAGCTTGTTGCTTTGCCACAATCTCTGCGTAAGATGAAGTTGAAGCTGGTAATGGCAGCGACGCTGACTTCTTCAATGCACTCTTAGCACCTGCTGTCCCTGTTCCTGAACGCTGAGCTTTGTTCTCACTACTACCGCCTAACCCGGCCTGTATTCGTGCTGCCTTTTGAGCCTGCATCTTGGATGGTGCAGGTGGCAATGACCCCGATGCATAAATTGACGCAGCTTCGAAGCATAAATCTCCATTCCTCCACAACTGCGAGAAGTGGATAATCATTAGCACCACGGAATACGAACTGAGTCCTCCCGTGTATGCATCATTCAAGTCGCGTTCGCGCAGGAGTTGCTTAAACACAATCGCCAGTGGATACAGCTCAGGCATGTTGTCCGCGTAACGCTTAATGAGGTCGCGTGCGAGTAATCCGCTGTGTGTAGCAGCCGACTCGAATGTGATGTCAATGGGCACAGACGTTTCAGCACTAACAAGCTTTAACACGGGCACTTTGGCCGTATCCAAGCACAGCAGCGACTCGACCCACTTCTTCTTCTCCAGAACTTTCGCCAGTTGTCTTAAATGTTTGGCCGTCAACTTTGAGTCGTTCACTTCCACTACGTCCAGTATCACGAGGTCCACATCGCTACTGGGCAGCCAAATGCCTGTCGAGTAAGACCCGAACGTCTCCACTTTCGACTGTGGCCAGAGTGATTGCACACTCGCGCGCACGTTGGCGATCATCTGTTCAATGTGCACAGCCATCGTGTCCACCGTCTCCTTGGTATACTTAGTATACGCCAATATTTCCTCATGGAGCGCGTCTGTCACTGTGCGATCGGCCTGCATTGCCATCAGCGTCGTCTTTATCGTCTCCTCCTTCTTGTGCTTGGCTCCCCAACTGGGAAAGTTGTTAGATACTGAGAAGGAGGTCGAGTAGGTCGCAGAGCTCGACGTCGGGGCCAACACGAGCTTGTGGTTGCGGCTTTTGACGCTCTCCTGGCGTAGCAGATCCGCGGCTTCCTGCAGTGGCGTCTTCTTTTCTTTGTTTTCTTTCTTTTTGTTCTGCTTCTTGGTTGACGACGGAGCGGGGGGCGCGAAGGCCTTGGATGACGCAGGAGACGGAGAAGGCGGACGCTGATTGAATGCGGCGGCTTTGCGCTTCTGCTTGGGCTTACCATCGTCTCTGCGCGTCGTGCTGAGCTGTCGCCGGTGGTCCACCACGAAGGCGGCGTCGCGAGGCTTCATGTGGCGCTGCTGGGGCTTGGATGGAGGGGAACGCGCGTCAGGTCTGTCGGACTCGGGCTTTGTATTGTGGAGACGGAGCGTGGGATGCAACAGTTCAAGCACTGGACAAGGAGATCGGAAGTAAGCGGAGACATGTCAAATGGTGTAGAACACGTAAGTAGTGTGCACCACCTCATGCTTCTTCTCCCGCAATGTAGTCGGGTCTCTTTCGCGACGTGAAGAGATCTTTTGTGAAGCGGCGTGGAGCCAGCAGGGATGACTGGTGCCAACGGCATAAACCTGAAGAGCACCAAGCACCAAAGTATCGGCAAAGCCCAACAATATTCGCCACCTTCGCGCCCCGCCACACTTTTGACCAGCGAACAAGACCATCCGATACTGAGTCTGACAATCCCACGCTGGTGACGGCGCTAAAATCAGTTGTGAAACTCAATTTTTGGATCTTTTCCAGCATTTTACAGTATCGAGCTTCTTGATATCGCATGCTCACTTCGTGAGTTTCTTTTGGCGTTTCCATCTCAAACCGCTTCGACGTTTGGCGAACACATAGACTCACTATTGCACAACCCGCGGGCTGGCGAACACAACCCACACCGCCATCCGGTTCTAAGCTGGTGTTTCACCTTACCGCAAGAAACCCTCCGCTCGGCCACTTTCCAAGCAGAACACAGCGGACGCACAGGTGGACGCATGGCGGACGAAGCGGACTGGCTGCCGGACTTGGCGGCGCTGGCGTCTCTCAGCGTGGCTGTGCACTACGTGCTGGGGTTCTACGGGCTACTGGGCGCGCTATTGATCTTTACCGTGCTGGAGCACGGCTCCAAACTGCGTGGCAAGAGTGTGGAATGCGAGCGGACGCCGTCTGCTCTCGAGGACGACGCGTCCACTGAAGGAGACGATGAAGTCCCGCAGGGCGAGGAGCAACAGGACGAGGAACAGGAGGAGGAAATACAGCACCACCGCGTGGCCAGTCTCATAGTGAGCGATGTTGGCAGCGGAGCGCCGCGCGAGTACATGGAGATGAACTCGCGTACACCCATCCCCTTCGAAACGGAGCTCTTCATGGGGCATGCGCTCTTTCTAGTACGCACGCAGCCCGAGGATCCGCACTACGCGGCGCTCTTCGCTGGCAAGCGTCGCATGTTCTGGATCCAGGTACAGGGGCGCTTCAAACAGGCACCAAAAGGTCCCGTCTATCTAGGGGGTGAATTGCCAGCACGGATCGCCCCCGGAGTGTTCACACGCAGCGTAGCGCTAGTCATCATGGGACTCATCAGGAGACTCGTGGGTCGGGTGAGTTTCAGCTTTGGCAGCTCTACAGACAGCGAGGACTCCGACGAATTGCCAGCCGTCGCATTCCCATTGTATCAATCAGCGGACCAATTCGTGGAAACGCAAGAAGGACAAACTCCTCCTGTATTAGGTACAGGAGACTTTGGAGAGACTGAAGTGCAACGCAGAGAGAGAAGACATACGCCTCTAGGAGCAGAAGAGTATGCGGTTGGACCCACATACACGTTCGACTTCCACACTATGTACGTGGACTTGACGAGGTGGGAGACAGCCAACTTGCCTAGTGGCCTTAATGCCATGGATCTCGCCAGCTTTTTCGACTCATTACCGTTGAGATTGGTTGCGTATCAAGTGAAATCAACAGATTTTGAAGCCTCTGACAGCCATCGACAGCGAGACAAGGACTATTTGTTCTCGTTTGAGGTCAAATACGATAAGCACGGACGTCATAATGACGAGGAGATGAGAGAAGACGCTGGACAAGGCAGTGGATCTGGCAGAACATCGACTGCGGGATTGAGTCTCTTGGGTTCGGAGATGAGCACTATGAGCACAACACTGAGTGATGCCAGCTCACTGACCGAAGAGGACCCGGTGTTAGCGGAGGAACAGGCGGTTTTCTTGCGTTTGGAACACGCGCGACGACTTGGCCAGCTCTCGTTCTCTTATCTTTGCTGGATGGAGGAAGTGGACGTGGCTTCCGATGTGCGTCGTGTACACTACGTGTTTGCGGTGAAAGATAAGGTAGGCGATTACGAAGATATGGACGCAGACGACGAACTATCGAGGCCTCAACACCACCACCGACTAGCTATTATCAGCAGTTATGAGCTGCGTAACTTGCTGCAACGTCGTCATGCTTTGAAAGGTGAGAAGGTCACTGACGAGCTCGCCAAATTGCGATTCCACAGTCGCTCGCGCATTGGCAGCTACAGTACAATCTCGTCCGAGGCACAGCAGGTTGTGATGCACTTGCAACGGCTGGCTGATGAGCCACTTCCACAGTCTGGACTACCGTCATATTCTAGTGATTGCCCCAGTGACACCGAGACGTTAGACGGTGACAGTAATGGAGAGAAGAGAAGTCTCGACGAGAATCGGGTAATTGCAGCCCAAGCAGCACTCTACAAATGCCTGACGAAGCGTCAACGCCTACAAGAATCGTTTACGGCCAGTACCAAGCTGTCTCCTTCTCGAATTGGTGTAAATCTGAGCCGCCGTGACCGCCAAGACATGGGCGTGGTCTTCGAAGGAGTCGTGTACCGTTATTACGCGGCCGAGTTACTACGTCAAGAGGTGCTTCTGCTCACTAAAGACACGCTCTTGTTTTACCGATCATACGCTTCAAGCGCAGAGAAGCAGGTGTCCTGTTCGCATATCATCGGTGCTCGAGCAGTGGAGATGCCTTCAGGTGCTGTGTTTCACGATGGTGCCAGCGGTATCGATGGGGTTTATGCATTGCAGATCAGCACGTTCGCAGAGGAAATTGTGCTCTGTGTTGGCACGAGTTCCACTCGAGATGCGTGGGTGAGAGGCATTTTGCAGTATTGCAACCCCAAGACCAACTTTGATCGTGCACTGCAAGGCGAAATGTACATTAGATTCGCCGCCACCACTGCGCTTCGACCTGCAAACCGTGTCGAACTCAATTCTCGACTACTTTTTCCGCAACTGAAGCAACAAGACAGCGTGATCTCAGTTGACACCATTCCTGGCGCGTTGAAGCTTGTGAAACGCACTTTGACGCGTGCATTGCACATTCTCAATAACGCGCAGGAGCTTTCTGTGACCGACGTGCTGGCGTTCTTAGATGACGCTAGTTCACTGCGAGAAGTGGACTTGAAGCTACTACAGGACTCGGGGTCACACGAAGAGCAAGTTGCGTTCTACCTGAATTTATACCACACAATACTGGCCCATGCCATGATCGCTCAAGGTTTTCCACGCGGAAAAAATCAGTGGAGTCACTTTCTCACTCGAACATGTTACGCACTGAGTTGTGGACCAAATGGAGAGCAGGTGAGTCTGTCGCTGGCCGAAATTGAGCACGTGATCCTACGATCTCGCTTGCCTCGCGCAGAGCTGCCATATTTGAACGTTAATAACGTCATAAAAGCAGCGAACGGTCCAGCTAGTCGACTTGAAGATCTTGGGATCGCACATCCAGATTTTCGCCTTAGTCTGGCGCTAGTGATGAACCACATGAACAGCGAAGAAATCGTCATATATGAGCCAGAAAGCGTACATGATCAACTGAACGCCGTTCTACGCTCGTTGCTGAAACGCAGTAGCGCTCAAGGGTGTTTGGAGATGAAGGAGGACTCGAATACTATTGTGTTACCCCGTGTGTTTGAGTGGTACGGCTGCGACTTTGGAGGAGTTGCCAGAGTGGGTATTGGCCAGCGGGATGACGATGCCTCTACAATTTATTGTGTCCGGAAGCTGCTGGGGTTCATGGACACCACGCTGCAGCTACAGGTTATTAATGCGTTGGGTCTTGATGACACTCCTCTTCGCACTAAATTCCGCTCTTTCAAGTACATACCGAAGACTACGCTACTGGAAGATCAGAGTTGTCAGCCTGAAAGCACTGACAACAAGGACTCGACTCAAACAGAAGGTGGCGGGATGACGCAGCTCTAGTCATGCAATTTTCACCTGTGTATTTATCAGTGAATCGAACCTCATCAATCAGATAATTCGAAATGTTAGTGTATCTTTCCAAGCGTTCACTTCAACATGACTTAGCTTCAACTCTATTGGGGCTTCAATGTCACAAGGCTTCATTTTTCACATGTTTTACTGGTTCGGTTTGGCTCTCTTTCTCATCTTCTCTCGCTCAATATTAGTCTCTTCACGCAGGGGGAAAGGTTGTGTAGGAAACAACAACAGAAAACGAGAGCTTGCCTCCAAACCAAAACCCAATAATAATAATACCAATACGCCTTGGACGTTCATTCGACTGACGCGCGCCGCTTGCTTTGATCTGCTGCTGCTCGACTTCTATCGCGCCGTCCTCTTTACTTGAATCTTCTTCTCCATTACTTCTTGTCAGAACATGCACGGTCGGACACGAGAAATCCAGCCAACACTACCAGGCAGGCATGACGCTGACACAGAAGACACAGGAAAATGGGGAGCCAGCGATACGGCCGCTTCGCTGACTCACTCCACCGAGAGCTTACTGCTCTCAGCTGCGAGCTCACGACGATAGTGGCGACGAATTCGCCGTGCCATTCGAGGTGGGCTCATTGTGGTTGTCGGGCTTGACCGACTCCAGCATCCTGAAAATTCGCTCGTTCCGCACCATTCTTTCCTCCAAAATCTGAAAGTGATGGCAATCCCGGTTGGCACTGTAGTAAAAACGATGATAATTAGTGAGCAAGTCGACATTCCGTACACTCTCGTTCATAATTTCGTCACGTACTTGTCATAAGGCGGCACCATGATATCCAACATGGCACAACCAATATCCGAGCTGGCCTGAATGTTGTGCAGATTAAACCGACGAGGGTCCAACCACGTAGTAGTTTCCTGTCCAAATTGACCTTGACGACTAATACGCGCCCACGATACCGATCCTTTCTCCGGATTAACAGCACTAAAAAGAATAGCAACAATTAGTATCGACAAACGATCCCTGCTCGAAGATAAAGCCCAACGTACTCTGCGCTGAACGTGGCATCCTCGTAGACAATCTCATCTCCCGCTTTGAGTCTCTGAACTTCAGAATCCGACACGATATCGTACGATGTTACAGTAGCCGCACCATACAAACTATTCAATAAACAAACAGCATACAATCAGCTCTCCACCATCCAACAAACACTCCACACTACCGACTTACACTCTCGTGACGACACTCATTCCTGGATGATTGTGTAGCGGGATAGTACTATTCGGGGGCATGAAGAAGATACCGATATCAATAGAGTCCGACTCCCAGAGCTTCCAGTAGTGTACGTCGTTCATCGTGCGTGCGATCTGCGGGGTCGGCACATGAATCCCAAAGTGATCTGCTCGCAGGGCATTACACAGAGCCACCACGGGGCTCAGCATCGTCTCAACCTGTTTCAGCGACAGTCTGGTATTGGGGAACTCGGTTCTCTCGACTCCAAGCAGAGCCAATGTACGTGTGTGTGTCGCCAGCATCTGATGCACGACCAGTTGCACGCCTGAGAGTCCCTTTAAGCTCGCGTTGGCGGCCTGTTCCGCTTCAAGCGCCTTCTGTGCCTCCTTGGCTTGAACTGCAGCAGCAGCAGCCGCTACGAGAGCGTCTTCTTTGGAAATAGGCGGGTTGGGCAGCGCTACGCCACCATTCGAGTGCGTCCGCGCCTTACCATCCGCGTAAAACCCTGGCTCCTCGAGGCAATGGCGGATAGATCGTGGACTGATTATGGGACTGCCGCTAACTTTAAAGACATTATGCGGCTCTGTGTCGGTGGCAGGTTCTCCAGGGTGACGCGCCCGCGTGGGGTCGATACGCTTTGTGTCTTTCTGGCGAGGCATGACGCGACGGTGTCGGGGTCTTTGGCGGAGCTGGAGCGGCTGAGAGCGTCGAACGAGCCCGTTGTAGTGGTGACTGGGGTCGTACGGTTCAGTGAGGGGCTCGGGCTGCGGCTCTCTAGCTAAAGGGAAGCCTTCAGGCGCGGACGAGTGCTGATTCGGGTACTCGCGCAGGAAACAGTAGACGAGCTTGCCGACGTCGCCCTTGGGTCTTGAAGGGTTGTCGGTCTCGCTGTGCTTGGACTGAACGGCACGGGTGGCGGCGCTGCTGTTTGGGGCAGAGAGCGTGTGAGTTTTGGCCATGGTATTAATACTGGGGGACGAGGTTAGCTGCGGGGACCTCCTCCCCTCGTCCACAGAGACGATGAGACTACGCTTCCTCTTCGCCACTTTAAAAGAGGCAACAACAACGAGCGTCTCGGTGACGGAAGCGCTGGTTGTGCACTCGAGAGACGGCCGCTTTTTACAGAGTGCAGCGGCGCCTTGGGCGCATGCAGCGTGAGGGGGGAGGAAGGCCACTTTATTGCCTGCGGAACCTTCGCAGGCGGCTAAAAAGTTACTTACCGAGGGAAGCGAAGGCTGCGAGGCGAGGACTACAGCTCAGTATAGGCAGTGGGCTAGCTTATGGACATCGACACGCGCGGAATGCGAGATGCCAGCCAACGTGTGCGTTTCTATCTCGCCTGCAACAGCACAGCGTTTTGACATTTCCGGGGGATGTTTCACTTGTGTCCAGTGGGACCCCCCTAATCGCACAGAATACCCGGAAATGGCATGCTAAAATGCTCGTAATTCACTGCCATCTGGTACTAATTATAGCGAAAGATATGAAAGGAGTATGAAACGACGCAGGGCAGGAGCGTACTACAACAAGGTCCAGCTGTTGAAACAAGATATTCACTGTCACAATACTAGCATCCTGGCTTATACCACTGTCGCCACGCGCCGTCCGTCGCAGGTTGCCGCGCTGTCAAACCAGGGCTCTGACTCAAAAGTTTGATGCTGCGGCGGGTCGACGCCTTGCCAGCACATAAAGCGCGTGCCGGCTATCCCGGCCAAGAAGAGATTTGCTTTCGGGCTGGCGTGGTCCACACGTCGCATTCCGATCCGGTAAAGCCGCGCGGCCATCTTTCCGTGTCTCTAGCAGACAAAAGCTAGCACTGTGCTAGCCTGTTTCGTGCAATTTTACAGTACAGCTCAATCAGGATCGAACAAGACGGAGTCAAAAACTATTACGTGGGAAAAATAGGTTTGGCTCCGTGGTGATGCTACGAATTACCCGAAGAATTAGCAAAACGCAGCTGCGAATAGAGCCTTACAACAAAATTGATAAAAACACATGCATCGAATTTGACGGGGAATTACACATCGTGAGTGCAACTTGGTCGAACTTCTGAATCGAGCGATGGACAGCGCGGCTAAGCAATAAAGTACCTGACAATCGCTGCCATTTCATAACTGCCTTTCAACCACGCTGACCGCACTTGCTTCATTATGAGCGCAGCGGTTGCTCAGCCACCAACTCCCACATCTCAACGGGACCAACAGTGCGCCACACTTGCAGCTTCTCCATCTGCAAACACCAGGTCGCAATAAGAAAAACTCAACAATCATCTTTCCATAAGGGCGCCAATCACAACCAAACTAACCTTGAGGCGCCGGCCATCCAGTTGTGGCTGTAATTCTTTCGCTAGATCGGCACGCGTCTCGCCAGCTAGATCGCCATAGATGAAACTGCACACGCAAGAACCCACCTCTGTATGTCAGCTAATTTGGAGATTTTCTTTAATGGCGAAGTCGGATAGCCTCTCCAATCTGGTCGGTTCAACGCCGAGCACGACTCACCTCACGTGGGGCATGAAATCCTCCTTCCTCTCGGTTGCGTAGATCTGCATCGTGTACATGTAGCATAGCAAAGAATCGTCAGAGCATGTGGCAGCCCCTTCCTGCGGTCAGCAACGCTTCTCGCTCTAAAGAGTCGCGCACCTCCTTCGCGCATCCATGTGCCCGAAGAAGCTCACTCGTGAGTTTCAACAGCCCGAAGACGCACTGGAAGTAGAGCTCGTCCTACAGGCAGCAAAATATAAGTGATCTTTATATAACATACCATTTCCAACGCTACCACCTTGAACGTCACTGTTTGAATCTCAACATCCAGCACTTGCATTGAGTCCGCGAGCTCAGATAGCTTCACCGTCACCTCCTCTGCGGACAGACCCTTCAGCAGTCGGTCGCAAGATCATCAGTTGACACCACAGCGTTGACAATAATTGCAAAATTTACAGAATTACGACCCAAAATTCATCTTGGCCGCACCTTCACACCAGAAAGCACCGTCATATGCGGTAGGAAGGGCGGCATCTGCAGTCGATCCGCGTACGTCTCGATAACGTCTTCGAGCTCCTGTGCTGCTGGCTGTCCAGGCACAGCCCAGATGGAGAAGCCCGCTACGATGTCGGTCGGGTCCGCCATTTCCGCACTTCAAAAATTGATATGAAGCAAATCAAATACCCACCGGTACATGTAATTGGCCGAAACAAACGTGTAATTTACTGAGATGCCTCTATTTGGCTCTTCACGGTGGCGAGCTGCTTGGCGAAGGCTGACTCGCCGACACCCAAGGCGTCCTCCTCTGCAGAGGCCAACTCCGGCATCTCCTTCAGGCACGCCAGAATGGCCGTCGCTGAGGAATCCAGTTCGTTCACAGCCTCAGCCAGCTCATCAGTTCCGATCGGCGGGTACAGTGCCGCACCGAAGTCCACGATCGCATCCTGCGCTGCTGTGTAACTCACGTCCAGCTGGGCTGTCCACTTAAGGAACGCGTCTTGGTCGTTCGTAATCGTCAGCTTCTTGATAGTCAACACGCCACGCTTCATGATGGCTGCGCACATCGATAGCAGCTTGAGCCCACTCTGGAATAGAGTACGCTCCTCCTCGGTCAAGCTCGAGTCGAAGCCAAATTCGTCGTCCTGCTCCACCTCGTCCAAAGCCGCAGATTGGCTGTCACCTTCCTCTTGCTCAGCAAGGAACTCCTGAAGCTCGTTGACCGTCGAGTTCAGCATCGTAATGCACTGTCGGTGTAAATGATAAAGCTGTAAGCAACCAAAGCCGTAACTAAGCAGAACGAATAGATTTTCGCACCTGCAGCATGCTGCGCTTCGATGCCACGCAATTAGACTTGGACACACGTGACGTAGAGTACTCCCATACACGACCCGTTAGCTGTGGCACGCGGGTCAGGTCTCCCTTCTCAATGGTCTTCACAAGATCGTGCACGCTTTTAATCAGACGACTTGGACGACAGCAACAACAAACGTCAATATCCACTTCAACATGAAAAATAACACCCGCCCTGCAATATTTACACTACGATAGCACCTCACGTACATTGCATCGTTGATAATTTCCGTAGCGAGCGATGGTCCGGCGCCACAGAATAGCGCAACGTTTGTGGCAGCGAGTAGCTGCTCGCAGGGCTTGCCCAGCGCCTCGCAGATGCTGGCAGCTTCCTCCTTGCTCGGTGTCTTGCTGTACACAAGCGAAAACTTGGTCACTGTGTGACCGATGGATCCAGTAGCCTGTTAATAAGCAGATACAGTCAGCAACTGCATAATATCTCAACCCATTCAATGTAACAGTTGCTCCGTGTAGCTTACCGCAACGAAGACCTCTCTCGCGACGTCAAAGTCCGTCTGCTGCAGCCAGAACGAGGGCTGGAAGAGGTGCTGCTTCTGGTTCTTTTCCTGCAGCTCCTCCAGCTGCTTCAAGTAGTTGGCCAGTTGCGCGTCGAACGCCGTCAAGAAGCTCGCCATCACTTGCTCGATGAAATGCGTACGTTGCTTCCAGCCAAACACATCAAATAATGCAGTCATTACATTACAATTTGTGTACACCACATCGCTTGTCACCGATACCGGTATACGCCGCGGCAACTGCACACTTTCAGCGCGGGAACCGCTTTCAGTCCTTGGTGTCAGCAACCCAGTCGACTTCTGCCTTCCCCTGTCGTAAAACCTTTTTTTTCTTCATAACTTTTAGCTGCAATTCTAAAAATTTAAAGTTATGCAGATGATGGGCTTCGGGGGTGACGATATGCTGGACGAATGGGAGTGGCCGGTCGACTGCAAGGCCCAGCGAGAGATGGAGAGCCATCTGCGCTGCCAGATCTGCGGCGACTTCTTCCACGGCCCCGTGCTGTTGCCCTGTTCACACACATTCTGCTCGGCGTGCGTGCGTCGCTTCCTGCAGAGTAAAGGGGCGCACGGCTGCTGTCCGTCATGTAAACAGCCCTGCACGTCGCGGGATTTAGTACCGAACCGTGCACTAGAGCAGGTGGCGCTGCTATTCGAAAAATCTAAGCCAGAGCTTCTAAGGAGACTGCAGGGTACAAAAGCGCCGAGTTCAGCGACCTCCACGCCTAACACAGAGAGTGGCAAGACCAGGAAGGCCAAGCAAGACAAGCCGGAAAGAATGCCACTCATGTCCTACAGTGTCATGCGCGACAAGGAAGTGAGGAAGCTGCTGGACTCGATCAACGTCCGAGTACCGACTAAGAATCGCGATGAGATTATTCAGATTCACAAAGAGGTGGGAAGAGCAGATTTTTGTCATGTCCTATTGCCTTTTAGGTGACATTCGTTTTGTTAAATCGGCGTTGGGGTGTGTATTTTTCCGTGTGCTATGTGTAGTACGTGCTGCTGTCGAACGCACAGGCAGATTCAGTCAACCCGAAGAGTACAGCTCAGCTACGAGAGGAAGTGGTGCGGAATCACTTTGCGAGAATGCAGCAAAAAGCCAAGACAGACGCGCTCAAGCGCAGCAGCGAAAACGCAGGAAGCGGGAACGCAGCGTCGCCGTCGCCAGGAGTGTCGGTACAGATGCGTGCCAACTTTGAGAAACTCCGACAGGATATTGCAGACCGGAAAGCAGGAAAAAAGCCCCCGACGCCAGCGACTGATACTTCGTCCACAAGTACTCCAGCAAAGTCACAGAAGAAGAGAACGGAGGAAGATGCATCGTCTGTGGGCGTGTGGCGTCACTTTTGTGCTTTGGACACGAGCATCAAGCAAGAATTTTACGTCAACTCGGTGACACACGAGATTCGAACTGAATTGCCGTCGCCACTTGTTCAGGAGCAGTCGCCGGCGAATCGCTATGATGACCTGAATGGTGTTGCGCGTGCTGTAGCCGAGAAAGAGTCAACCGCAGTAGGTCAGGGTAATGCAGCCAAGGCGGTGACTCCATTAAAGGCCAAAGCACGGGCCAAGCGAGCAATTGCACCGGCATTTGCTTCACCCGACGCTACTTCCGAATTCCAGAGAGCTACAGAGGAGATCGTTGTCTCAGACAACGAGGACGCCGAGGAAGAAGAGCTAGACGGAAAGAAGAAGCGAGAAAGCTTAGGGAAGCACGCTCGGAGTAGTGACGGTGCTGGTTCGACAGCAGATACCGTCGTTGATGTGACCGAAGACGGGAGTGAGACGCCCAGCGAATGGCAGTGCTCACGGTGTACATTAATCAACGAAGCGAAGTGTCAGCAGTGCGAAGCATGCGGCTACGAGTCTGTCTCTGCTCCGGTCAAGAAGCGCCTGCGTAAGAAGATGCACTTCCAAAGCAAAATATCTTTGTCATAGACCCTCAGAATATCATTTAGCAGTCGAACTCAACAACTCTTGTCATCCTTCGCTCTACGAGAGCAGCGCCTTGAACTCATCGTACTCAATTTCTCCGCTCCCGTCCGTGTCTAGCTCGTCCAGCATGCGGTCGATGTCGATAGGCAGACCAAAGTCTTTCTTGATGAGCTGGACTAACATTTTGCGCTCAACATGGCCACTCTTGTCGGGGTTGCCTCCGCAGGCCACGAAGGCATCAATGAAGTCGGACTCGTCGTCAAACTGAGCAGCACGAAGCTTCTGCGCCTCAATTACCTGCAGGAACTCGGCGAACTCGATCTCCCCGCTGTGGTCATTATCCACTTCGGCGATCATTTGAAAGAGTTCCTCGTCAGTGGGTTTCTGACCCATGGCTTCCAGCACTTTCGACAGCTCGTACTTGTCGATTGTGCCGCTGCCATCCTTGTCGAAGTGGACAAACGACTCGCGGCACGCATCGATCTCTTCCTGCGTCAGAATCATGCTGCCAACTGTCAACTGTACGCTACAAGAAGAGGCAAAAATAGTTTTTAAGAAATATTCATAAAATTCATAGTGAATGTGTTGGTCATGAAATCGAAGATAATGATGGCACTTTGATGCCATCCTATGATATTCACAATTGCTGTTTCCTCCATCCTAAATTGTCGATGCTAAATCGTCGCCGTTTCTCGTGTGGCTGAAATTTGGTGTTTTGTGTCCTTAGATTTTGATCAGGAGTATTTCGCGCACATACAACGTCTGTAAAAAGCACACGGTCATCATGAGTTATCATGACTACACAACATCAACATCATGGAAACGTACCCAAAGACGCTCGCGCTTCTCCTGCGTGGGCAGCAGACGCACCAATTGAGGTACAAGCTCCTTCATCTGCGGGTGCGAGCAAATCGACAGCAGATAGCTGAAGAAGGCGTCCAGCGACATGGCGTCCTGGCCGAAGAGCCGGCAATTATCCTTAAAGACCTGCAGGTTCGCATACGGGCACTTGGTCTGCACGAAGTTCATCACCTCTGAATACACCTGCTTCATCTCTGCGCCCTTGGCCGAAGGAGGAAGGGGTGGCACAGGCTGTTGCGGGGCCTTAGGAGCCGATGGCGCGACAAACGAATTATACATTGCTTGTGCCTCTGGAGGTGCTGTGTACGATGTGTTGGGCGCTGGGGCCGGGTACGATTTGTACTTCAGCGACGGATTGGTAGGGTGCGAGTGTGTGGATTCAGTGGGCGCGGGAGGAGCCACTCCACTCTTTCGCTGCTCGAACTGCGCGTAGAGCTCACGTTCCGATTTGTACGAGCTGTATCGTCGCAACCGTGGGTCATTCGGGTCTGGTTGCACCATCGAGGGCGCTGGTAGAGACCTAGACGATCCAGACGACGACGCTACCTGTGATTCTCGGTTCGAGCTCGAGAATGACGACGAGGGAGTTCCTGCGAACGACGCACGAGCTGCAGCCGCGTGGTCTGCTGCATCGGGAGTTCCGTTGCTGTGGCCGTAGCTGTTGCTGCTGCTAGTACGGCCAGATCCGAACGAGTTCGGGTTGGGCTCCACACCGAGTCCCTGCTGGTTGCATGCCCGACGAATTGCATCAAACAGGACGTCGCAGGATCCAGGTGGCGGAGCCACTTGGCCGCTCAGAATCTCGTAGGGGGTGACCTTGCGCCCGTAGAACTGACTGTTCATCTCCCCACGCACCATGAATGTTGATCCGTGCAGACCCACGCCCGCGAACGCGCCCTTGGCGTGACTGTACGTGTAGTTGCCGCTGACGCCGCCTCCACCGGCGTTGACACTGGCGCCGGCCGCACGGCCTACAGGACCCACAGCCAGGTCCAATCCAGCACCTACGGAGATCTGCGTACCCTTCTTAAAGGTCTTGACCGCGCTTGGAGAGCCTAGAACGATGAGGAAATCGACGATTTCGCCGCCGATCTCGGCGCCAAAGCCTATACCGGCCGTGCCGATGCCCGACGGGGGCGACCACGAGCCATCCTCGAGACGGGCAATGACTACGCCAGTACCCATTTTACCGGTCCAGATTAATCCGGCCTTGACGACTGTGAGGAAGGCCAATCCAGCCGCGTTCTGGATCATTTCGGCGGGAATGGCTTTGTCAGCGGACACCGTGGAGCTGAAGCACGAGTCCAGGATGGCAGCGGCCTTGACGATCTCCTTATCCATCGTCGAGTGGTACGGCATGTGCAGCGGCATGGTTGCGACGAGGGGGGTTGCCTACAGGAAGCGATGTGAGAGTGGGGAAGGTATAACGGCGTTCTTGCTTCTCTGGTTCGACAGTCGGAGCGATGAGCGTCAGAACTGAACACTTGGAGTTTGTAAGTGGATGTACACTGTATAATGTGAGACAAGCACGAAGGGGCTAGTATTGGAGAGGATTCGGTGATATGGGTACAGGTCATTGAAGAAGAGATTTCTCATGAGTGACAGGCGGACTGATCTTTTCAATCCTAACGGCAAAGATGGAACTGCCACCATGCATCGCCAGGAATCATGACCTTCATTCGTCGAAGCGGCCGTTGATGGATTACCGAGCAGGTCAAGCACAGAAGTATTTTGCACCTGAAGCAAAGCAAGACGAAGATCGGACACCGCCCGGTCCATTCACGATGGGCAGCAAATTCGCGATTTAACACGTGCGCAGACATGTTCAACGCGGCACTTGCGCAGGCACCTACGACGATGACGTGGAAGTTCACACTCCAGTGGTGCAATACATGTAGTGATACACTACAACGTACGTAGTAGTACTATAGTGCATGTTACATACTTGGACTCACTTTGATGAACTAGCGTGAATCCAGGCCACGCGGATCAATTCAACAAGCTTGCTCGCTTAACTACGGCGGTCCTTCCTAGCGGAAAGCATATTTATTTGCTATTACATGTTGGGAGAGAATACTGCTGGCCGATAGTCCAGCAATGCTACGCTGCGGCCGCAGCAGATACTAACACCGGAACGACTACTCTGTCTCGAACCGAGCTGCTTACAGCACGTTCACGCAGTTCAGGTCGCGGAAGGCCTCATGCAGACGAGCGATCATAGCCTCCTCCGACTTGCGCACCCACACACGCGGGTCGTAGTACTTCTTGTTGGGAGCGTCCGCGCCATCGGGGTTGCCGATCTGGCCCTGCAGGTAGTCCTTCTTCTCCTCGTAGAAGTTGCGCAGGCCGTTCCAGTACGCCCACTGCGTGTCCGTGTCGATGTTCATCTTGACAACACCGTTGCCCACGGCCGTCTGGATCTCCTGAGGCGTCGAGCCAGAGCCACCGTGGAACACAAAGAACACGGGCTTCTCCGACGAGAGCGACTTCTCCTTCGCGACGTACTTCTGGAAGTCACCCAGGATCTCAGGGTGGAGCTTCACGTTGCCCGGCTTGTACACACCGTGCACATTGCCGAACGCAGCGGCGATCGTGAAGTACGGCGACACGGAGCCCAGCTCGTTGTACGCAAGCAGAATGTCCTCCGGCTGCGAGTACAGCGAGGCGTTGTCCACGTCACTGTTGTCCACACCGTCCTCCTCGCCGCCGGTAATGCCCAGCTCGACCTCCAGGATCAATTTCAACTTGGCCATGCGCTCAAAGTACTTCTTGCTGAGAGCCACGTTCTCCTCCATCGGCTCCTCCGACAGGTCGAGCATGTGCGAGCTCCACAGAGGCACGCCGTGCTCAGCGAAGTACTTCTCGTCGGCCTCCAGCATGCCGTCGAACCACGGCAGAAGCTTCTTGGCGCAGTGGTCCGAGTGGAGGATCACGGGCACACCGTAGTGCTTGGCCATGGCGCGCACGTGGTACGCGGCGGCGATGGCACCGAGGATCGAACCGTTCTGGTTCTTGTTGTCAATGCCCTTGCCAGCGTAGAAAGCGGCACCGCCGTTCGACGTTTGGATGATGATGGGCGACTTGATGTCACGGGCGGCCTGCAGAGCAGCGTTGACCGTCGACGACGACGTCACGTTCACGGCCGGGATGGCAAAGTTGTGCTCCTGAGCGTACTTGTACACCTTAACCACGTCCTCGCCGTTGAGGACGCCAGGCTGAACGATGTCGAGAAGACCCATCTTTTTTAGTTGGAGGTGGCGCTGGTTGGAAGCTTGTGGGGTTCGAAGCAAGATTCGAAATGAGACCTTCGTGTACAGCTGCGTCAGCAAAGATCCACAAACCCTGGTTTTCAAAATACCTATGATAATTAATATATATACTGTGACGAACCTCTCAGTATAAACAGAACAGCTTTGGTAAGCAATCAAACTCTCGATACTAATTGTAATTCAGCAATTGCGTTCTCGCCAGAACGAACGTGTACGAAGGTACGCCTGGAAAAAGTATTTTCAAAGTATACGCTGGTAAATGCTTCAGTACGGCTTTTTCACTAGCAGTTTCGGTGAACCTGTCGCTTCGGGATCAACGCAGTCCCCTCCCTAAATTAATCAATCGCAGGGATTAATGCGATCCGGCATTCATGACTACCAAGCCACCCCTGTTAAACCCGACATAAGCGCTGGGCAGAGCTCGCCACACAAACAGAAGCGTATGTGTCGCTTGGCTGCTGCACGTAACCTTGCATGCACATGCTGGGCAAGCCTGCTTTGAGTGGTGTTCACGGCGGATCGTGCTCGCTCGTTTTGCAGAAAAACGCACAGTTTGATCCACGTCAATGCCTTTCACTAGCTTTCACTATGCACGCATTTCTTCAACCCGAATGGCTTCGTGTGACAAAGCCTTGTCAGCTCCCTCGAACGGGCCGCAACCCGGCCTGATGTCTCGACCCGTTTCCACAGCGCCTCAAATAATTCCGGTGAGGTAATATGGAGCTCGAATCCTGTTTGCCATTTGTCTGTACCCTAATCTATCGCGGCAAGAATTAAGTTTGTGCCTTGGGCGAACACCATTTCATGTGCTTTACGAGATGCTTATCAATACGTAGCACGAGCTACAAAAAAACTTGAAATGAAGTGAGATGGTCCAAGCTAAAAGTGCATGTAGCTCTCTGTATTGTTGGCAAACAGTGGACACTAATGAGGCGTGAATCGCATGTATTCACCAGGTTCGAACCCTGCACCATGCTATCTTCAAGTACGTACACAGCGGGTAAGACGCGGTTCATACGAACGCACCAGAGGTCGCAAATGGTTAACCGTACCCGTTCGGGTAAGGTTTGGCCGTAACCACGGTCGAATATGCTTAACAGAAAGTTTGCCTAGTAAAACTCGGAAGGGTACGTACGGGTAACCGACTTTGCTGGGCCGGTTGGTGCGTTCGTAGTATTATTATTATTCTTTTTACAAGCGCTTGCTCGCGGCTCGCACCATTCACTCTACTTTTTCGAGCAAGGAAGGCCTATTAGCATCTTATTTATTGCAAGGGAAGGGTATGGTTAATCGGAAATTTACGTTTAAGATCTCTGGGACACACTCATGGCCTGCGAACATTTCCCTCATTAAAAACAAATCATGAGTCAAAGTGGACGTTCTCATCACACCTAACATTGTGTTGATTGCACACAAAACAAATACGGGTGGGTCGAAACCCAGACGGGTCGTCAATACCGACCCGGATCCCTATCTATGTCCTACGATCCAAACCAAGCAGCCCAATTGCTCCACTAGCGAAGAGCTCACTTCGTATCTTGCTTCGAACTCTACAAGCTTCCAACCAGCGCCACCTCCAACTAAAAAAGATGGGTCTTCTCGACATCGTTCAGCCTGGTGTCCTCAACGGCGAGGACGTGGTTAAGGTGTACAAGTACGCTCAGGAGCACAACTTTGCCATCCCGGCCGTGAACGTGACGTCGTCGTCGACGGTCAACGCTGCTCTGCAGGCCGCCCGTGACATCAAGTCGCCCATCATCATCCAAACGTCGAATGGCGGTGCCGCTTTCTACGCTGGCAAGGGCATTGACAACAAGAACCAGAACGGTTCGATCCTCGGTGCCATCGCCGCCGCGTACCACGTGCGCGCCATGGCCAAGCACTACGGTGTGCCCGTGATCCTCCACTCGGACCACTGCGCCAAGAAGCTTCTGCCGTGGTTCGACGGCATGCTGGAGGCCGACGAGAAGTACTTCGCTGAGCACGGCGTGCCTCTGTGGAGCTCGCACATGCTCGACCTGTCGGAGGAGCCGATGGAGGAGAACGTGGCTCTCAGCAAGAAGTACTTTGAGCGCATGGCCAAGTTGAAATTGATCCTGGAGGTCGAGCTGGGCATTACCGGCGGCGAGGAGGACGGTGTGGACAACAGTGGCGTGGACAACGCCTCGCTGTACTCGCAGCCGGAGGACATTCTGCTTGCGTACAACGAGCTGGGCTCCGTGTCGCCGTACTTTACGATCGCTGCTGCGTTTGGCAATGTGCACGGTGTGTACAAGCCGGGCAACGTGAAGCTCCACCCTGAGATCCTGGGTGACTTCCAGAAGTACGTCGCGAAGGAGAAGTCGCTCTCGTCGGAGAAGCCCGTGTTCTTTGTGTTCCACGGTGGCTCTGGCTCGACGCCTCAGGAGATCCAGACGGCCGTGGGCAACGGTGTTGTCAAGATGAACATCGACACGGACACGCAGTGGGCGTACTGGAACGGCCTGCGCAACTTCTACGAGGAGAAGAAGGACTACCTGCAGGGCCAGATCGGCAACCCCGATGGCGCGGACGCTCCCAACAAGAAGTACTACGACCCGCGTGTGTGGGTGCGCAAGTCGGAGGAGGCTATGATCGCTCGTCTGCATGAGGCCTTCCGCGACCTGAACTGCGTGAACGTGCTGTAAGCAGCTCGGTTCGAGACAGAGTAGTCGTTCCGGTGTTAGTATCTGCTGCGGCCGCAGCGTAGCATTGCTGGACTATCGGCCAGCAGTATTCTCTCCCAACATGTAATAGCAAATAAAACCTTTGATAACAACCGAAAGTGAGCAACAGCACAGCTTGCGAGGGCAGGGCAACACGATTCCATTCATTGCTGCATTGCTGTTACCTGGCCTTGGATGAGTGGGATCATGTGCTTTGGTGTCCTACAAAATTGGGATCTTGAAGAGACACAACGGATGCGTGTCCCTTCCTGTGCGTTGGAACTCCCATTCCAACAACGCCGCCCACTATCCTCTAGCCTGATCACATACGGAATCATGGAGATGGAAAAGAAACTGCTCAAGAAACTCTGTCGGGACAATGACCTGTACGTGACGCCGTCCATAAATGACAAGCTTTACCTGCACTACAAGGGCTTCCGTTGCATCAAGAACTTGGAGGAGTACACGGGATTAAAAGTCTTGTGGCTCGAAGGCAACGGACTACCTCGAATTGAGGGACTGGAGCATCAGAAGGAGCTGCGTTCGCTGTATCTGCATGAGAACTTGATCCAGCGGATAGAGGGACTGGAGTCACAACTTCTGCTGGACACGCTCAACCTCTCTCAGAACCAGATCTCCTGCATCGAGAATCTCGGCCATCTCAAGCAGCTAACGGTGCGTCGCGACTAAAAGCGAATTACCTTCTGTTATTATCTGAGGGCTAACCCACACTGTGCTCTACGTTCTCACTCGGTAGAGCTTAGCACTCAAGTCGAACTATTTGACGACTGCAAAAGATGTCGCGCACGTTCTGGAGCTGCCAAGTCTGTCCGTGTTGGACATTCAGAGCAACCGTATCAACGACACTGACATCGTCGATATCCTCGCACAACTACCGAACCTCAAGGTGTTGTACTTACAGGGGAATGAAGTTGTGAAGCACATTAGGCAATACCGTAAGACGATGGTGTATCGCTGTCGCAAACTGAAGTACTTGGATGACCGACCAGTCTTCGATGATGAACGACGGCGCGTTGAAGCGTGGGGGAAGGCGCTCGAATCCTCCAACGGTGATATGAAGGCAGCCCAAGAGGCTGAGCGCCAGGAAATGGAAGCGATTCGGCGTGAAAAGAAAGAACGAGATGAACAGAACTTCTTGTACTTCGAGCAGATGATGATTGAAGGTCGACGTAAAAGACGCGAGGAGGAGGAACGGAAGCGCAAGGCCGAAAATCCAGAGGACGAAGCAGAGGAAACCAACCCGTTTTCTGGTGAAAGAATCATCCCTGTTCAAGACTGTGCCTTCCTACAACAAGAGCGCGAAAAGCGCTGGGAAGCCGTTGTCAATGCACCGGATGAGCACGATTTCGGAGGAAACAATGCCTGCAACGAGGACAATCAAAACACCGAAAACGATTTGTCGTCTTCTTCAACCGATGCTGCTGGAACTGGAGCGATTCCAGTCGATGAACGGCGGATGGAAGTTCTGCATCAATGCGCTACTGTGGGGGCTGCCGGCGCGTCAGGCAAAGATTCCTTCGTCAACGCATCTTTTGAGATTTCACAAGCTGGCGTCGGGGGTATTGGAGAAATTCCAGCTGCGGTAGCATCATATGAACCTAAAGGCTTCGATCAAACTAGCACAACAGAGCTGGTTGCTGCTCCTCCAACTCCTCCAACGATACTGGTACCTCCTCCTGCGCCAATTTCGATTGCTCCAAACGCCCCGAAGGATGATACCGCAGTGGTAGGTCAAAGCGAAAGTCAACAACCTGACATGACACAGCAGCAAGTACAGCCCACCGATACCGATAGCACAGGCAGTGTCCTTCCCCCACCACCTCCTCTATCGGATTTGAGACCAACTGAACAAGTCGAGGAAGCGGTACATGCATTGCCCCCACCGCCGACTCACACTGACGTCAATGAGCTGGACTAGTCTCGCGAATGATGTAAGAGCTACGCGTCAACGTAGGCCTACGAGAGAGATCAATCAGTATATTCAATAATCGATTTATGCTTGCTACTAGTGCAGCTCACTTAGTTATTCAAGCGTGCAGTGTTTTTGGAAGTCAAACTCGTAAATCCAGAGGTGGAAGATGTTTTCCAGGACGTCAAATGGACAGAGTGCTTGGCCCTTGCACTCATTGAACTCCACCTCGCGCTCGTTGAGTAATGTTTTCACTTTGAACGTCTTTCCAGCTTGGTTTGTCTCCTTCTGATCTGCGCACTCATAGAGAACAAAGCCGATGTTGGCTGCAAATGGCGCCAACTCGGAGCTCTTGAACTTCCGCTGTACTGCTAGCCCCAATGGTGTGACTGCGCGGAAGTGTCCTTCACGATCACTGGCATGTCGGTCGAAGTAGCTAACATTCAAGAGCGAGGCCAACGGTAAAATGGTCTCAGCATGTGCAAAGCGAAAGTAACCTTCAACGTCGCTCTTGCCATCCACACGCTGCTTCATAGTATGAAAAATATTCTGCAACAATGGCGTCGCGATCTCGTATGACAGCGGATGACCGTGACTTTTCCTGTAGAAATGCTTGAGGTCTTGAAAGTAATCCATGGACAGCAGCATTTCGTCGTCGAAGAACGAGCACCACTGGTCAAATACATCTTGCACTGCCACATCGAATGCACATCCGGCGTACGCTGCCTCCATATCCTTTTGGGTCGCACCGGCAAACCCAGTTAACCGCTGGAACTTTACCAGGTTCTTGTGCATCTGCTCACTGTCGCGATACTTGCTATGTTCAATGGTAGAACTCTTGTTCGAGTCAATCTGCGTCTCAAATACCGGGCAATTATCGTAGAACCGCAGTACTTCGTCCTGTCCGATCGGGTGGCTGTGGTAGTATACTGGCTGCAGGCCGTCGAAGAAGCCAAATGCAAAGGCCTCAGCACTCTGCTTCGTACGGATCTTCCACGTGTGCTCAAAAACAAACTTGCTGGCGTCATAAAACACCGGTAACGGTGAGAGTCGAGCTCGTAATCTGTGTCCAATCTCAATCAACTCGAGGACGCCGGGATCTGCAAGCCACGCTTGTGTTTCCTTCGGGTATGGATTCTTCCAGCTCTCCACCCACGTTTGGGATGCCCCGTTACGAGCTGCTAATAGCCTAGTGTGTGTATTGTTAATCCGTGTAATGTCTTTCATTGTAGGGTCCTGGTACCATGGCGAATGGCAAAGTTGAGCTGTACGGGTGTGCACGTACCCTCGAGAATATCTGATTCTGCCCACGGAGGCGGTGCATACAGCGTCTTGGTGGACATGTGCTTGCGCAGAACCTCTCGCTCTTCCCCAGCAGCTCCAACAACCACGCAAATTGCTGCTAGAAGCAACAAAATCCTGCCGAATTCCATGCATCGATGCATTTTCATTTTCAAAATTGAGAATCAGATCGCAAAACAATAATATTATTGCTGCTATCATTTCGTTTCATTATACTTATTTCTAAGCTGCATCATTTTAGAGCATCAAGCTCCGATAAGATATGCTCAACACGTTCTGGCGGCTTCATGCCGGTGTGTACCGCTTCTCTCGCGTTGGTGCAGGAGCCGGGCCCACTGTGACGCTGGTGGGCGGTGTGCACGGCAACGAGCGCATTGGTGTGGAGGTTCTGGATGCGTTGCGGCTCGCTCTCCTGCGAGCTGCACCATTGTCTACTGCAAATAATCTCTTCCCACGCATTACGCGTGGCTCGGTGACACTGGTATACGGTAACCCACGGGCACAACGTATTGGTAAGAGAGGTAGCGAGCCGCATGCTGACTTGAACCGCTGCTTCCCGCGGGATCTATTGGAAATTCCCGAGCAGGAACTTGATTCGAGCTACGAACAACGTCGAGCGAAGGAGTTGGCGCCACTGTTTGCGGCTAGCGACTTGTTGGTGGATTTACACTCAACAAATAAGCCGTCACCGCCTTTTATCAGACTGTCAGGCTATGATAAAGTGCCGGCTCAACTGATGAGGATTTCGGGACGTCTACCGACAAAAATGCTCTTACTAGACCCGAAACACCTCATTGGCGATGGAAACGTGGCGTTGACGGACGAGTTTGTTGGTGTACATGGAGGCATGGGCATTTGCTACGAGAGCGGGCTGGCGAGTGATTTGTCCCAGACAAAGATTGATAGCATCACGCGTAGTATACTGCAGATCCTTCACCACGATATGGAGGCGATCGAGTTTGTAGACGCGGACGGACAGATCCGTAGCAGCGAAAACGTGAGACTGGATGAAGTACAAGAATCTGTCCAATTGTCGGCACGTGATGCATATGAGATCACGGAGGTTTTTAAGCTGACGAGTAATGGTTTTCGCTGGGCTGATGGCGTTGGGGACGAGAACTTCCAATGTATTCCCGCAGGAAAGCCGATCGGGTTTATTGAAAGGGAGCCATTCACTGTCAACTACGACTCGCACGTTGTTTTCCCCAAAATTCAATCTCTCTGGAAGATAGATGCGTAAGTATCGTTTGATGAATTTTATGTGCGGGCCAACCCTCTAAGTTTTGCTTTGACTTTTTTTTTGCAGACCACTGGGTTGGCTTACTCGCCGCATTTCAGCTTAGGCTTTCTGCAAACACTATCAGTACTACGGAATGAATGGCCACGTAGATTGAAATGGCACCGCTTATAGGCGTCGTGTGAATTGCCGATTTTGAACTTCATTTTCAAGAAAAATGAATAGATTTTTTTTGCTTGGTATGACAGCAACTTCATTATTATGAAACTGCAAGCTGAATGACCAGCTTCTTACGCATTATCGTTTGAACAAGTTCAGCATTTGCGATGGCCATTCAATGAGTGCTCACACGTCACAGACAATAAAAATGCTGTTTAATTGAAAACTCGCTATTCAATCGTCATTTGCACTTCTTATTACATTCACAAACTAAAATTTATGTCGATCTACAGAGCATTTCGACTTTACCGCCTCATTCGCTTCACTTCACTTCACCACTTCGCATTTCCCACACCCTGCTCATGTACCGCATACCGGAGGGCCAGCGGTGCGTCCTTCTGCTGGACGGCCCCGAAAGTACCGATGTAAACACGGACACCATCAGGCAGGATCCTCCAATTACTGCTTCAGCGTCCTGCCCGGAGCCTCTGAAGCCGCGTGCTACGTCCACGCAGTCATCATCAATCGCACCAACTGAGAACGATCCACGGGACGTCGTGCTGCATTCGGACGGATGCGCGGTTGCTCTCCATCTGTCCGTTTTACAGGTCCGCTGTCCAGGGCTCTACAAGCAGTTGCGGCAGCTCCGCCACTTGTCGGAGGCCAAGAATGGAGATATCTCCCTCAAGGTGATGGAGAACGAGGAAGTTTGCGCATTGCAGAACCAGCAGCATGACGCTTCGAAGTGTCCACTTCGTGACTATCAATCTCTACGTCTAGACTACGTACGTTGTGCTGTTCACACATGTCGCCGTGGACAAATTAGTGGAGATACTGGAAGCCAGATCTCCAGTTCTCGAGACAGCCCTGTTATTACTCAGCGGAGGAAGAGACTGCGACAGGATCCTGATGCAATGACGGACGAAAACCAACCGCCCAGTGGACATTGTGTCGTCCAGAAGCCACGGCGTGCCAGGAGTTTGTTCAGCGAGGCGGACGTGCTGAGTCCATTGACTCTTTCTAGTTTGGAACAACTGGATCAGCAACGAGGGGCGATGCACGTCAAAATCGAAGGGACTAATATCGACGCTGTTGTCACGTGCATTGAGTATATCTACCGGTTCAAGGTGAGGATGGTAGAGGAGAGCAATGCTATGGAGGCAGTGAAGCTAGGACAAATGCTGGGGATGAGACATACAATGCTGTATTATTGCCTTGTGATAGCTATTCGACACGTCACTACGAGTACGTGGATGCAGATCTTGTTGGCAGCTTCGACCTTGCCAGATCCAGTGATGCGTCGGATCTTATGTGATCGATTACTGGATTTCGTCAAGGCGTTGGAACCTGAACAGTACTACGATGCTTTAACAGATATGCCGTGTATGTGTATCAGTCGATTGAAGCACCACGACATTCTGGTTCGAGCAGTGGTGGGACTTATCAATAACGTCCGAGTCGTGGAATTCTGGAGAAATTTGCTGGATGCACTGAGCCAGTGGCTGAGCTATCGCTTCCAGACGCCTCACCCGCCCTCTCTTCGCGCAATGCACCGTCACTTTGCCCCGGAATGGAAACCGTGCATGGAAATAGAGCCCGTGAAACTCGAAGTGAAAGCTGGAGAGGGCAACTTGTTCACGTTGCTTGAGTTTGGTAAATTTCAGCTCCAAGTTCGCATCGATATCACAGATGAAACGCCAATTCTGTGGCGGATCATCCGGTCTTCATCGCCTCAGCTGCTTACTGCCGATCGGGACGACTATACTGCGTTTGATAACGACCCTCAGTTCTGGCTACGTGGCCAAATGAAGGTCAAGTACTGGCGTGCTCAGCCAAACCGTGCAGAGGTTTTCCAAGAGATTATCATCGAGTATCAGCATTGCCGCGACCAGTACAGCCAATGGTGTGACCTCGTACCTCCTTCGCCTTCAAGCTTAGCTCCTGATGTTTCAACCGCAGCATTTCAGCCTGAGAGTACTGGAAAAGCGCAATTTCGAGGCAAGTTTTTCATTTGGGGTGACCCCGTATGCAGCATGTACCATTTCTTGCTACAAACAACGCTCTTCTACTCGGCCCCGTTTGGGTCATCGACTGAGTTGTCAGATCTGATGGTTGTGTCCGAGATGCAGCGATTGCCATTGGAAACACTCGTGCTTGTACTGCAAAGTGATCGTCTACGTATCCCCGAAGGAGAGCGAACCTTGTTGCGATGCCTTAATAAGCTGGTGTTTGGCAAGAACTTTAACTACCTTGGTAGTTCACCCAAGCAAGAAACTCACCAGTACAATGGCCGCGCGAAAGACGTGATTTGTCTGTACAAATGTGTTCGGTGGTGTTTTGTACCTCTCGACGACATCATTGGGACTCTACAGCGCTCTCCTCGAGAGCTCAAGTTCTACGAGTTGATTGAAAAGGGTCTACAGGACACTTTCCGTCGCTTCTTGCGTCGACGCCCGTGGGGATGGCGAAAGTACCGACACGCGTACATGAAGAATGAGACGAATGTGATCGAGTTTAGGATCGAGGCCGGAGAGAACAAACTGTCGCCGGAGAATTTCCCACGCGTTTTGAAACCTGAGCCAAGTTCCCAAGATTCGTTGATCATGAGTCCCGATCCGGTTTACCCGCCACGTTCGTTAAATGTGCTGTATTAAGAGTTAATAAGGAGGTATCAGCTAATTACTCTACCTTTGTACTCTTTGATCGTAGTACACTACGCTCTGCACGAAGCATAGCCAGCGAGGTCCACACCAGCGCAGCCGTGATGATGTATGTCGCTACGCACACCATGCAAAAGTCCCGCAGAACGAACGCTAAAATGTACGCCAAGTAGACGATCACCACCTACGACGGTAGTAATAAAGCGTGAGTCAACTTACCCGACAGTTTATCTCACCTAGCTCCAACTTACCGCCATAAAGAAAGACACAGCAGCGTAAAACTGTGCATGGTAAGGCACCTTCCGTATCACCGAGTACAATGCGAACAGCGAGTACGCTAGCACCCCCAAGTGCGCATTTGACACGTCCAACGTCGAGTGTTTCTCCACGAGCCCTAAATGAGACAGCAAACTACTGTATTCACTCGTCAACACCTAGAACGACATGAGGATTTAATGGTAAACAACTTCGTGGCTGCAGATTGTGACCTGGACCAACCTGCGAGCAGGAGTAAGCCTCCGAGTCGCAAAGCGCCGAGTATTCGTCCTTTAGCTCCATCTTTTGCTTCTTTACGTGAATCGCATAGACCGATAACGCCAGGCCCAGCACCCCCAGCATACTCAATCGAGTCCCATGATGTGCCATCGTCTGTGTAGTTGAAGTCAATCTTTGAGTATCCAAACACGACTATTTTCGTACCCAAAGTACGGAGTATTTTTTTTTAAGTTGATAGCTAAAATGACTGGAATGGATTGGACAAAAACCTTTTCGGGTCATTTGATTGGTGAGTATTTAACAGTTTGACATCTAACAGCACCAAATTATAAAAATTGTGACCAGTAACATACGCTCCTCAAGTGTATAGTATACGCGTCCTGGACACCAACAATCACGACCGATGGCGGCGCTGCGTGAGTTGCTGCTCGCGGCGGAGCGCGATCGCCAGCCTCTAGATGACGCCTTCCTGTCATTCTCGCGCTCGCTACGTCTCTCTCCATCTGAAAACCCCAATGACGCATCGCAACTCTCCCCTGAGAGCGCGTCCTCGTTGTCTCTCCAGTTCCTAGCCGTCCACCCACAAGGTGAGCTTCTTCTGCGCGTATGGCCCGACCAACACGGCATCGGCAGTCGCTGGGAAAGACGCGAGAGCTTCGTGACGTTTCTCCACGTGGTGACGCACCTACTACAGACGCAGCAGCAACAAGACGCTGCTCAAGCCGAAGCCTTCGCGCTCCGCGTTGTGCGTGAGAAAACCCCACAGCTCGAAAAGCTGTTGAGTTGGAGCGACAAGCCACTGATCGAATTCCGAGCGCTGGAGCTTCTTGCAACAATAGCGAAAGTCAGTGGATCCTCCGCCCGTGAGCTCGTTCGTCTATTCAACTTCCAACGTCCAGCGTTTGTCAAGCTGGCCACTAGACGCTGGAAAAAGCCCGAAGTGGAGGAAGAAGAAGTGAAAGAGGCTCCGTTCCAGCTCAGAGCGGCCTATGTGGACCTGGTGCTTGCACTTACGGCTTGTCCGGATAAGAGCGTACATCGCTTCGCCATGAAGGAGGGAGGCGTCACCGCCTCACTGTTTAAGAGCATGGACGGAGACTCTGTTGAGATGTTAACGATAATTTTCAACAGATTAGGAGAACTGGTGCTGCACAATACGGAAGTAGAGCACAAGAGCAAGCTCGTGGTGTTTAATGCCACCTGTGTGCACCAGTTATTGGCGCTTCTACAAGTAGAAGACGAGATTGTGCGTGATACGGCGCTAGGAGTGTTGAACGCTCTGTTCTTTGAGGACAGCGCGTTGTACGTGGTGCCTCAGAAGCAAGCGCTTCGGTTGTTTCTGGCGAAATCAGCCTCGAATTCCCATAGAGAGGAAGAAGTCACAACGTCGGAACAGGCTTACGCTCTCAAGGTGATCCGTAATGCTGTCGGTACTGTTGGTGTGAATGAGCTTCTACGCAGCACTCAAGCACAGACGCTCGTGATGCAGTTTCTCGCTAAGTATCCAGGTTTCCTGGCGGAGTATCTCGCTGCATTGTCCGTCCAGCTGGAGCCCAAGCCAGTGTATCGCTGGTTCTGCGTTGCTTCACTAGTGCAGAAACTGCTGTCCTGTTCCCTGGATGCGGTGGCTGATGGACTACCTAAGGCTCAGAACGAAGATGCACTCTCGTCGTGGTGTTCTGCACAGTCGTTAGCATCACGGCTTATCGCACCGGGCAATTACCGCAAGGAGCTCTCTCGTTGTATCCAGCACAGCAACAATCTGGTCATCTACTCGTCTCTAGGAGTGATCGAGGCAACGCTCAAGCGGTATGTGGGTCTAGCTTCGGCTCTGGAAGTATTGGGTCTTGCCTCAGAAGTGCAATCGGAGCTGCGCTTCCTACTTCCAAGTCCGGAGGCTCTTGTCTCGCTGCTCCTCAAGTTGTGTGCGTCTCAGGAGCGCAAAATCGCGCTGATCTACGTGCGAGCACTTACGGTCTTCCGTCTTTACTTGGAGTGCCTTCCGCAGACTATGCGTGAGGTGAAGGTCGACTTTACGAAGACACTGATGTGGCGTTACTTGGACGGCTCCGCCGATGAAGATACTTTACCGCAGCCCATGCAGAGTTTGATTGTTGGTGAGATGCTGCGCTTCCTGCTGGCTGTGGATACTCCACGCCTGCGTTTCCTCTTTACAAGCGGGATCTCGGGTAATCGCTCGAAGCTGCAGCAGATGCTGCTCTTGTATGTTTCAACACCGAGTGACGCCGTACAGGAGCTCGCTGGGAAGGTGCTTCAACGGACTTTGATCGCTTCGGATATCTTCGGACATGAAACACAAAGCGCTGATGGACGTGCGAACGAAGAAGTTAGATTCTGGCTCGAGAGTTTGCGTCAGTGTGGAAGCAAAGCCTGCGCTGAGTTCACCGAACAACTTGCACGTGCTGTGATGGCTGATCCACTCATGTACGTCGCGGTGGGTCGTCGTATAGTGACAGAAGCATCGTGCTCATCCTCGTTGAGTCCGATTACTGTTGCGCTGGTGGGATTCCTTAACTCTCGTGATGGATGGAAGACGGAATTGTCGGTGTATCGCGCTGATCCATGCGTTGTGACTTATGCTGTACGCATTTTGCAAACCCTGAAGCAAACCAGCAAATATCCACAGCAATTGGTCGATCTCATTGCGAGCAAAGATACTTTCACTGTGGATATCCCTGCGTCAAAATCCCAACAAGAAGAGAACGGTGAGGGTTCGAGCGATGGTTCTAACGGCAAGAAGCGGAAGCGGTCGGTGGGATCTGATGAGACTGGAGATGATGCTTACGTGTGGCTTAAGAGTCACTGCGAAGCGCTTGTTTCAGGGAAGCACGCTTCTAGCAGTGCTGTCGCAGTAAAAAAGAAAGCACGAGCGTCTAGCAATAAGTGGCACCGCTATAGTGACCCGGATTCGTTTACGGCTGCGTTGGTGGCCATGACGCCTGCCGAATTTACTTCATCCTGGGAACATATTGTCAGCAACTGCGCTGACATTGCGGAATCGTTCGGTCCGGTGCTTCATTATCTGTTGGCGCGCGCAGACGTGGATTTCCTGTCACTACTGACGCCTGCAGCGGCGAAACACAAGAAACAGACATTCAAATCTGCAGCAGAGGCCTTCACGAAGACGGTCCCTGTGAGTATTGTTCTTCAGCACGTTCTCATTAACATCGAGAGTAAAGAAGCGAAGCAGCAGGAGTCGATGATGTCCACGGTGGCGACCATGATAAAGCGTAGAATCGAGGACTATGAGCTGGCAGCGACAGAGGCAGCGCGCATGTGTGAACAACTCCTGTTCTTCTTCTCATCAAACCATTCTGGCTTCCTGGAAACCGGACACACTCAGCTTTGCGAGCTGTTTTTACAGCTACTGACCGTCGTTCTTGTTGCTGAGGCTGCTTCGACTCCCACTGTTGTGACGCGTATTTTCTTCAAGTTACAAGCAGTAATTGCCACCACTTCAAACACTGCGTTGTGGCGACAACTCTCCGCTGTGGAGATCGTCGCGCTGCGAGTCTATTCCAGCAAGAACTTAGACACGGATTTGGTATCGCTGTGTGATATTGGCAGTCTGTTCGAACGGACTGGTGTGCCGCTCGTTGCTGTGTTAGCTTCTCGCATTCCTACCAGTGTTCGGCTCCCCGTCCTCGACAGTCTGTTGCACCACGGTGCAGCTATCAATGCCCCACATGTTGTGCTAGTCGCCCGCGTTCTTGAATCCCTAGGAGGCAACAGTATGGACAAGCAATACGACTCCTTCGCGGATTACAAGCGGGCCAAGTTGCTTACGCGCAAGCTCTGGCAGCTATTGAGCAGCCAAAGCAGGGAGCGGGAGCTTTCGTTTATCACGGCTGGATTCATGGTCCTCAGCCGCTTAGGCGGCATCGATGCGTCGACTGCTGTGGCTTCTATTGAGAGTTTCCTGGCACTACTTGTCGCGCGAAGTGCGCAGACAGCATCGAGTTGTACAGAGGTTCTACGAGGTATTATCGCAGCAATTCAGAGCGACAAGGAGGCTGCAGTGTTCCCAGTTGTGCTTGAAGAGCACCTGTTGAAGGGTCTTCGACGTGAGAAGAATGTGCGAGTGAAATGTGAACTCATGGCGGCGATTTACAACGTATTTTCGCGTGTTGGGAGCTCTTTACATCGATTTGTGGATCAGTTGATCCCAGTCTGCTATGAGCGTGTGCTGTTGGATTCGCAGATGAGTTTCTCGGCTGAACTTGCAACGTTGAAGCACGTTTCTATCGATGATTCGAGTGAGAACATCGCGGTTTTGGATACATCTGCTAGTGCTGTCGTGACAAAGCTGGCCAGGTCGGAACGTGACGAGGCTTTGACGTCTGTGCAGCTATTGGGATTCCTTCTTTTGCTTCGCAGCAAGAGCAGTATCGCAAGCGTGGACGTTAGTCTACTGCTTGTCCTTGTTCGAAGTGGTTTGTCTGCTTTGAAGGCAGCGAGTGACAGTGATCGCTGGTTCCACGACTTTGAGGCGACTATGCTTTTGGTGGAGAGCATTGTTGGATCATTGAAGTGTCAAGAACCAGACAAACAGCTGTCCGCGTTGAAAATGGTTCTCCCGTTACTTGCCGAAGCGCGTGAAGTTGTGCGAGAACGTGCGGACAGAAATGTGTTCCAGGGTTTTGTGGGCTTGACAGCAGCTTTGGTGCGTCTCGTGGGGAATGATATTGGTGCGATAGACTTCGATTTTGCTGCCCATTTCGATGCCGTCTTGCAGCACCCGTGCTTTGCTCTTACGCTCCAGAATGTGGGCGATGATGACGTCGTGCGCCTTCGTGTTGTTCGTGTTGTTGCGCGACTTGCTCGTATCACGGGCACGTACACGCGCTCGCTGCTGCAGACACTGCTTAGCTGCTATTCGATGTCACTCTCTCCGTTCGATCGCAGCTTGAGAGTATTGTTCGAAGAGTTTGAGACCCAGGGATCCAAAGATGAGGAACTTACACTAGTTAGTATGGGCTTCCGCTTTGGCGCATCGTCTACAGTGCCGTCATCGACAGCAACGTCAAAACGGTCTCACAATGATCTGGTCGATGATTCCGCCTGGGTTTTTGGTGGAGGTCTCGACCAGAACCGTATTCGTGCCACCATTGAACACTTCCCTTTAGACCGTGAAGTCTCACCGGATAGTGACGCATCGTTGCTGGAGCTTGACGAAGAAATTCCAGCCTACTTTGATGGTATGGAGAAAAGTTTGGAGAGTGATGAGAAGCAAGCGAGAGCCTATGATCCAGCTTTCCTCTTGCCGATGCTGTCGCATTTCATCTCCTCGTCAGACTTGCCTGATAGCGGCATTGTGCAGCAAGGTCTGCTGGGCGTAGCTATCCGTGCCACTTCGTCAGACGTCGATAAAATTCGTGGATACGCGTTTGGTATTCTGGCACACCTGCACGAATCTCTACAGGTTACGACAGAAACAACAAGCGATTTCAAGGCTGGACGCCAGGTTCATCTTTTGCTGGATGTCTTCCGACGCGGCGTCGAGGAGCCACTCGAGCAGATTCCGTCTGTGGTCACTGTGTTTCTCAACGACGCGCTTGCCGTGTTAATCCGCCCGACACACGTGCTTTACCCGCAAGTGAACCACTTCCTGTTGGTCCGTCCAGCGATGGATTTAGCCGATGTGCCCATGTTCTATTCGCTGTTTAACAGTCGAGCGCCGCTGACATTCCGCCAAGAACGTTCGTGGCTGCTCCACACGCTGCGTCGCGGAGTACGCAGCGAGGACGACGTGGCTTTGCTTGAACGCCGCCACGTTCTTCCGATGTTGTTTAGCTTCTTCACGTCCGAACTGGCTGACACTCACACACAGCCATTGATCACAAGCATCCTGTTGTCGGCACTACGCACACCGTCGGGAGGCGTTTACTTGGTGACTAAAGCAGCTCTACTGGAGTGGCTAGCGACGCAATTCCTGAGGCACGGAACGTCTTCCAAGTTGTCGGGATCGATGAAAGCGGCTTCGACGGGACTACTGCTTCCACTCATGACACTGTTGGAGGAAGCGCTACAGGACGGAATTTGGGACGAGCTCGATGTTATTCTACAGCACGCGACGGCTTTACAGACTGCAAATGCCTTCACAGCTATGCAGGCTGCTGTTGCAACGCGTCGAAGCAATTCAAGGAGTGATCAGTTAGTCACAAGCAAGGCTGCTGTCGTTGCCGCATTGGTTGTTCGTCGCGCTGGTTCCGTGTCTTCGCTGGAAGTGCTGCAGAAGGCTTTTGAGATTGTTCAGCTATCCACGGAAGACAGAAGTGCTCTTGACAGTGCCGAGGTTGTAGCCAGCAGTCTCACGCGATGGCTGCTGCAGCAATGCCACCACGAAGCCCAGAAGCAACGCTTCTCGGACTGGGCAGTGTTGCTTCGCCAAGTGGCTTCCATTCTTGTCTCCTACAACGCCACCACTCTTATGGTGCAGCAGCAGCGAGCGAGACGTGCACTCGAGCAGCTCAAGACTGTTTTGGATCAAGTGCCAACTCTGAAGCAACTTGTGCTGGCACCTTCGACCGCCAACCTGCAGCTGGCTTACGCTCCCGCGTTGCTTTAGATCTTCATGTGGTACTACATTTTAATAGACAATTCTTTTGTGCATTCATGCGTAGGTTGCGTCTTGACTCTGATTTAACTTGGAGACTGAGTAAGAAGTTCTTGGCACGTAACATGATTTACCTCACTCTAGACTTCATGTCCTGGCATTGGTATTCATTGTCCAATATCGTCGAGCTCTTTACTACCGCTTTCACTGCTACACTGGTAGAGATGGATGTTCTACAAATGACAGGCCAAACAGCACTATAGTACACCATGCGGAGCACATCATTTGATCGACTTTCAGTGCAGAATTTCGTTTTCAATGAGTATCCCATGTTATCTTAAATAACTAGACCAACATGGCGTCTGTCAACGTCAAAAGTGTGACAGGAATGCCATTGGCTAAAAAGCTGCCGAGCGCAGCGAAGGCGGCCAACGGCCATTGGCTAGAACTCTAATACAAACACGCAAAATGGAGTGCCCTCGGTGCCACGCAGCCATCGTGGTGCCACCGCCGGACCCCGTCGGCGAGAACCCCATCGCACTTCGGCTGTGCGCATGCTGTGAGCAACTGCTCGACTGGGACGCCTTTGCGAAGCGGAGGTGGCCAGCACTTGCTACTGTGACGAAACATTAAACCACCGCCGCGAAGCGGCGGCGCTCGGCTAGTGAGTAATTAAGAAGCTGTGAACAGTGTTCCGAATCGTGCCAGAGAAACTGAACCGCATAACGCAACTCGGTACGCTTTCCCCACCGTACCCTCGATTTGACCATCTGGATCACCGGTTTCAATGCATGGATGGTGCTGTAAGCAAGACGTTGTCAGGGTCATTTATCTTTGCAGCCACGTTATTTTAATAACTTGAGCTCGATAAATGTGAAAATAGAAAAAAAGCAGTCGAATGCGGTCAAAATTAAATAGATAACAGTCGCAAAAAGTTTGTCTTAGTGTATGATGCACAGTTTCGTGAAACTTTGAATTAAACACGAATTTGTAATAATTATCTTGAAAAATAAGTTTTGTAGGATGGAGATGCTAATATTTCGCACTCCACCTGTTTTTCCAATAAATCTCGATCACTGTGGCAAATCACGAGGAATTTCCATATCTCAGTGCTTAGCACTGAGATGTGTTTTTGGGATTGTGAAAGAGCCCCTTTCTGGGCTGTTCTCAGTGAATACATATCATATTAGTTTTTACCCTTTGTAGTACTGAACGTAATACATATATTAGTATTTAAATGATACCACGAATAGTACAAATAGAGGAAATGCGTAGTTGAGCATCAATGGAGGTTGGTTTCACCGTACCATCGCATGAGGTACCATCACATCAAAAGAGAAACCACCATTACGGTGTTACAGGCTGGAAATGCAATGTAAAAATACATCCCGAAGGCTTCATCTTTCTGCTCGTTTCTTGCCATTATCCGTTTGGACGCGACAGCTGAACTCTCCAAGTTGATCCAAGGCAACTTCTCCAGCACATTTCG